AATATTAGAAAAAACTTTTTCACTGTGAGGGTGACAGAGCACTGGCACAGGCTGCCCAGGGAGGGTGTGGAGTCTCATTCTTTGGAGACATTCAAACCTGCCTGGACACGTTCCTGTGCGATCTACTGTAGCTGATCCTGCTCTGGTGGGGGGGCTGGACTAGATGATCTTTTGAGGTCCCTTCCAGCCCCTAACATTCTGTGATTCTGTGATTCTTCCTTTAAGCATCTCTACCACTTGCAGGGCTGCCACCACTTGCTACCTGGTGGAGCCTGACGTACTGCTGCTTTGTAGACATTTGTTATGAGAGGTACACTGAACACCAGGCACTAGGGAGTTCTGTCCTGCCTTCCTCTCAGCCAGTTCTGTATTGCCAGAGAACAGAACCCACATGGACTGACGACAGCTTTGGACAGCTGCTCAGCTGTCACAACAACTGTGAGTAAGTAGATACACAGACTTGTGGTAGCAGCTTTCCTGCCTGCAGTAATGATGTAGGCAAAACCATGTAGTTCAATTACAAGTCAGACCCAGAGTTTAATTCACACAGTGTACAGGTCTTCAAATTGTAGATAAAATACAGTGGTTTTAAAATAGTACTCAGAGATGGAATTTGAAACTAGCATTGAGTTACTTGTAGAAGTATACATCTGCTATAGGACAGTTTTTTAAATTGCTCAGATCAGCTGGTCACCTCAGTTTACCCCAAATTCATGTTTTTGCTTTTTGGGGAAAAATAATCTAAAATATGTATAAATAGTCTCTTAAATCAGCTATACCAAATTGAAGTAAAGACACTAGAAGCTGACTGTGAAATCTATTCAAAGTAGAATGAGAACTGTTGATTTGGCTTTCCTTTCCTTAGAGTTTAACAAGGTTATTCTATTCTTTACAGTGATAAACAATTTTATGCAAAATAGCTCTTTATTATAAATAATGGGACTTTATTTCAGTGAAGAAGGAGATCCATAGATCCTGTTTTGGGTCAGTGGCAGATGAATGTGCTTTAATAGTCCAAAGTACTATCTAGTTTTTGCCTATGTCAATCTACCATCTGTCTTTCTCACAGTGGGGGTCACTGCGTTAATCGTATTTGTAATGAAGAAATAATAGATGTGCAGTCAGAAAAACTAATAGAGTAAAATGTTCTGTGCTCTGCCAAAGATAAACAAAGAAATAAATCTATGTTGCTTACAGCCTTCCCTTTTCCATGTATAATGCACTTTATCAATAAAACAATACAAACTTCATCAAAGAAAAATCTTGCCAATTTAGTCCAAGAAATGTCTTCATTGAGCTAATCTCCAACAAATGCTGTTTGCAATAGGGATCTATTTATTCTTTTCGGTCATAAAATACTGGTCATTCTTCTTTATCTCATGCTCTAAATCTACGATCCCTTACAGATAAGACAATCCAATTAACAAAGACAGAAGACGGGAGGAATATGGTTACTACATAAGCATTTATGCATTAGCCCCAGATTAAATATGTTTACCTTTTATGCTTTGATTTCTTTTCTTAGGGAATCACAGTCAAGTGTCCCGGGTGCCTGTTGCTATCAAAGTGCTCGATGTAAATGACAATGCTCCTGAGTTTGCATCAGAACATGAAGCCTTTTTATGTGAGAATGGGAAGCCTGGACAAGTAAGTATCTCCACATTTTTATGTTGCGTACTTTGGTGTGGGAGAATGAGGTTCAGCTTCTCCCTGCCATCTTATCTTTATTCCCAAAATATATGCCTATGTGTTCATGCTAACAACTCTTCACAATCATTTAAGATAAACGTATGATTGTATTCTGTGCTACATCTCTCTATACATGGATATAAATATTTTTTAAAGTACAAGTTTTAAATTAAAGGTAGGTGTCTTGGGAAAATATCCAGAAAAAATGTTGAGTGTCTTTAAGCTTCCACTGTTTTCACTTTTTGATAGAGCTCATCATTTCATAGGTTCATGGGTGTTAATAGGTAAAATTATAATCCAGCTGGAATTCCAATTAAATTATTGAACTATATTGCAGCTAGGTCCAGGCATAATTTAGAAGAAACACTTAAAACAATAAAGCCATTTCCCCTTACCCATATCTCAGTTATAATCTCTACCCAATTAGTACTTACTCATCTTTCTGTAATTGGGAAAAAACAAGAAAGCAGACTAGAACTTGGTGGAAAGTCAAGTAAATTGTAACAGTATTTAAAGTATCTAAAGAGAGATGGGATGTTTGTTGGGGAAGTGGAGTTCAAGTTTTCAAGTCACACAGAAAAGCAAATGATAGATTATTTCCTTCTTGGTTTAATGAAATAAAATGAAAGGGTTGGCAAAGGAATTTACACAACCCTCTACAATGTGAAGTAAACACAAGATACCAGAAACAAGATTTAACCTGTATAGCCATTTTCAAAGAAAATTAAACAGATTTCTAAAAAGACATCCATTTGAAGGACAAATATACAGAAATAGGGAAGAAAATTCAAGAAAATGTACAGACGAATGTTATAGACAGCAATGCAAAGTAAATGAGATTTAACCTTTGTCCAGCATAAGAAACACTATATGTTACAACAATTCACTGTTTTTAAAATTTCTAATTTATTTCTAGATTGTGACATTTTTTTTAAATAAACAGCAGCTGACAGCATGACACTAGTCTTGTTAATCCAACTATTCCTGTGCCTCATGTGGGTGTTAGGCATTAAATTCACTGTTCTCTGAAGATGGTTACCTGACAATAGTTAGAAATTATTTTCTTTCAGTAGTATTAAATGACAACCTATACAGAAGTATATGACACCCTACCTCTGCCAAGACTGGGTTGTGGCAGAAGGTGATTTTACTTCCAGCACCCCTTTTTATTTATTAAAGAAGTGTCAAAAATGTGTCATTTAAGAAATGAGAATACTCTCTAATCACTAAAAAGCAGATTATTGAAATATGCCCTTATGGGCAGACAGTTATGTTGCTGTTGGTATTTAAGTTCTTCTAGCTATGAGTGGATTTCTCTTTAGCTCAGGATGGATTTCAGAAGCTGAGTAGTCACATTTTCTAGGATATATTAAATTCTAATGAGCATACCTTTATCCAGGGCTCAGTAAGCTTCCCTGAAATCAAAAAGCTGTGTCGCACAGTGTTTTCTGAATATATTTATCTAGGTATTGCTATCAAATTTCACGTGGTTTAAGAGATGTTGATTGCATTTTATTTTGGAATGAAACAATAAATTAGATGATTAAGAATCTGATAGTAAAAAGGCTTTTGTTTAAGCACTTACAGAAAACTTTCATTAAACCTTGGTATTCTTCATCTTACCATTACCTCTTACACTCTTGATCTGATGGCAGATATCACTCTTGAGTGTGAATCCTTATGTGAACTTTACAGATGGTTATTAAATATTTGGCTGCCAGCATGGATGAGGTGGCACTGATCCTGCAATTTATTCTCTGTTTTAAACAAATAACATTATTGGAACAGTAACCAGTCTAGAATAATCACTGAGGTTAGGTTCTAAATTTAAGTTGTCATTCAAAAATTATCTGCTCCTGTAAGGATTTTAGTATCTACAGTACCTGATTTTTCTTATGCTTATTATTCTATATTCAAATTTTAGAAGAAATCATATTAGTCAGTCAAGATGTAGAATTCAAAAAATTAAATGTGTCTCATCTATGGAATAGTAATAGACACTACTCTCTTTCCTTGTAGCAAAAGCCTAATTTGGATAGTTCTCAAAAGTATAAACTTAGATGTTGCATTTGCAGGGAAGGCACAATTGTGTTACGGTATTCCAATCTATTTACATTTGCAGTTCAACTTAAATCTAAGTTTAAATCAAGTTTGAATTACCATAAGGGAGATTACATTTGAACCTTTTATGAAACCTTATTTGCAGCCCCTAAATACATTGAACCATCTATTCCAGTTCAGTTTCTAAGTGTTCTATTTTGGGTTCTGATATAATTGCAAGTGGCAAGTGCAGCTGCTGGTGATGTGACAGAATGTATTAAAAACTGTTGATGTATAACACAGCCAGATGCATATTCTTTGCTTTAACCTACGTCTAACAGTAGAGATACTACATCTAGTAGGAGAAGAAAGGGAGAGGAGGAGGAAATGTATTTGTCCATGCAGGTATTAATGTGCTCCTTGTACATTTTAACAGTCAACAGAAAGTTCCCAGAAATGTGGAGGGGGTTGTCAGTTTTAAGGAGAAAAAAAAAGAAAAAAAAAAAGAAAATTCTCTTGGAGCACCTATAAGGTACCCACGAGCCAGCTCATGCCTTTCCCCATTATTGCTTATTTTGCATAATTCCAGTTACTAAAGCCAGAATATGCATAGTTTTGCTAGCTATAGCTGTACAGGTAATTGTTCTCAAGCTGAGCTAAATTACTTTCCTATACTCCTGGAACAGAACATCTATACTGCTGTGTAAGAAAAGTGCCTCACTCCCTGTTCCCCAGTCCACACAGAGACTTTTCCAGTGAAGTGCTATTTGATCAAAAGAAAGCTACAAAATTGTCAAACACTTAAGTAATACAGACAATAATATATCAGTGCTCAAGCCAGAGTTCCAACTAGAGCAACATAAAACTGAATGCAGCGTTCCTCCAGTCTCGCACAATTTGTTTCTGTTTTATTCGGTTCTCCTAATAGAACTGGCTTTTCCTAATGGAAGGAATCTTCAGATAGATCTTTGTCTCTCTGAAGAGTCAAAGCTCATTCACATGGCAAAATGCAGGTTCTAGCAGTAAAGGGCTGGTTTTAGCTGAAAAGACATTTAAAATTGTACTTGACAAGCTGACTGCTTATAGGATTGTGAGTTTGCAAAGTAATTCAGAGATAACTGTGAGCACCAATGTAACTGCAAATGTTTATTCGAAGTTGGAAGAACAGTTTTATAAAAGTAGGGAACAGTTTACTAATGAAAAGGAGCCACTCCAAGGTTAAGAAGTTGCATTGCAGGGAAATATGTAAATTAAATTCACACATAGATATGGTATCTTGGTAAGAACTTTGTTTTGCTATTATGCTTCTACATCATTCATTATGATTTTACCTATACTCTTTTATAAGTGTTATTTCAGGCAATGCAATACAAATGTGCAAACTATAATGCCAAAATGTCCTGGGGGTTCATTTAACTATTCATTTAACTATTACTTTGCCTGTTAGGCAAAATATGCTGATTTACTGTATTTCTACTAAATGTATATACAGAATCAAATACATGCTTTTTAATAGTACATCAAAGTTGAAATTTTACATGGAAGAATTTCACAAATTTCAAGATTGAACAGCCAAGGAGTTATTAACTCTCTGTGTAGTGCTTGTGGATACGTAGTGAGAAAAAATCAGTTCTTGTTTTCTTTATTATTAGTAATTATGAGTTTTGTTACATGGAACATCTTTTTTATGCATGTTATTACTAGGAAAAAACCCAACACACCTGTAGTGACAGGTAGCACTGGTGATAGTGATAGGACTGGAAGATTCTCTGCCATGTTATGAACACCAGATTAAGAGTTGGAGAATTACTTCAGCAGGGTTCTATTGCATGATCACACAATACCGAGCATTAAAGTATGCTCATCAGCATACTAATAAAAATGTGGTAATGAGAATTACTGCACTTTTCTCACCCCTATGGAGTAAAAGATACAGCTACTTTGTATCCCTGTATATATGTGATGCTTTTTTTTTAAAAAAAGAGCTTATTTTAATGCAAACGCACAAAGAAATAAGGTTGCTATGGGAACACTAACTCTTAATTCCTTGATGTGTGCATATAACACAACAAATGTAGTATTCCACTAAGCCTGTCATTTGCATATAATTTTCAGTGCATTTTCAGAGAAAGAATGATTTGGTAAACAATGAATGGAAAGAACTTAAATGTATAAAAGAATTCTGTAGGACGTTAAGAGGTATCCATAGTTCTTGGGGAGGACAGGAGAAAAGGACAAAGAACATTCCCAGGTCTTTTATTTCTTAAAATTTCCAATTTAGATGATATCCCAAGCTTATTTCATAAAATTTGTGAGCTGAAAACCCACATTACTATTGCTCTTGGCTACTGGTTTTCAGGTATATTAACTGAAAACCTAGAGAGAGAGAAGTGAATATTTACAGTCAACTCTCTTACATAATGCTGGAAAGAGCTAGCATTTATGTAGCCCATAGAGATAAAATCATATAGCCCTCTGATAAATTGCACGCATTATGTGCAGTTGACCCTCCAGACTTCACTGTGCCATTATCCTTTTTCCCTTTTGCTTTCCCATTCTAGCAGTGTTTTATAACATGGAACAAACATAAAATACATCTGTCTGAAGACACTTCTTTGGGATTCCATTCTAAACTGCAGTTACCTGTGATGCAGAATTATTAGTATCTAGTCCAGCACTGGGCCTGATGCATGGTGGATAGTTTAGGCCTTTACACCTCTGCAAAGAGGTAGCTGAAAATATTCCACATCTGTAAATGGGTCCATTCCCACAGTGGGACAGGCAACATCTGCTTATGTATTTTTTAGCTGTTATATTTTTTTCAGACAGCAAAGCTCTTTAGGATCTGTTTTACAGCTGTTAAATTGGAGACCTACTTCTTTAAGCAAAAGCTGTGTTTGGCTTTTTTTCGTCCAACTCTTCTAATACATGTGTTTGAAATCATATTGGTCAAGGTTTCCACCTTGACAGTTGCAGTTATCAAATAAAAGAATCTGCTTATGTGGTATTAAAACAATCTAAAACTTTTTCCATTAGATATTGGACAATAACTCTGACCTGACCAGAATATGGTTAGGCAAGGAATGAATTCTCTCAGATTCCTTCCTAGGTTATCTTACAAATTATGTATGCCTATATCAATACCTGCTCAAACATCTTTTTACACATATAATTTCAAATAGTTGGGGTTGGGTGTTGCTCTTTGTAGTTATCTAGTAAGATTTTATTCTTTCTTTGAATATTGAGGAACATAGAACAAAGAATGGGACGTTGACTATTATCAGAGTCCTGAGTTTGGCTGGAATAAAATTAATCTCTTACTAGTAGCCGGTACAGTGCTGAGTTTTGGATTTTGGATGAGATAGTGTTGGTAACACACTGATGTTTTAGTTGTTGCTAAGCAGTGTTTACAGTAAGTCAAGGACTTCTCGATTTCTCACGCTGCCCTGCAAGCAGAGTCTGGCTGTGAACAAGGTGGTGGGAGGGGACACAGCATGGGGAGCTGACCCACACGAGCCAAAGGGGTGCTCCATACCATAGGATGTCATGCCCAGAATATAGATAATATAAACATAAGCATAAATAATATAAATATAAAGATGCCCAGAATATAAATTTGGGGAAGTTGCCTGAGGGACACCATGGCTTGGGGACTGGCTGAGCACGACCAGCAACAAAATAATAGTAATAGTAGTAATCATATTAATAATAAGAATCCATTCCTTTGCTGTCCTATTAAACTGTCTTTATCTCAGCCCATGAGTTTTACGTTTTTTCTCCAATTCTCTTCCCCATCCCATTTGTGAGCGAGCGGTTGCGTGGTGCTTAGTTGCTAGCTGGGGTTAAACCACAACAACTGTATATGTAATATACATAGATTAAGAGTCCTTTCTCTTGTGGTAAAACCAGTATAAAATAATAGTTATTAGCATTTTGCTAGTGAAGCCTTGAAAATTTAAATTATAAGACTATGATTTTGAAGAGCATCAGACCCTGTTTCCATTTTTTACTCTAATCTTCAAAAATTAAATTTGTAATGATTCCTAATTTGAATTTAATTGTCCAAATTATTGGTCAGTTGGTTTAGGCATGACAAAAATAACTACATAAAACAAAAGTATTATTGAATTCAATGGACATGGGAAAGGTCAATAATTGTCATTAAATTTATAAACCACATCTAGCATGAGCTAAACTACTACTGAAATCCATCTCCAAGCTTGCTCCTAATTCTTGGGAAAATATTAGGAATCAAAAGTAATTGCACCAAGTACTAAAAAAGTTAAATTCAAACCTCCTGATTATTTTAAATAATACTTCCTCCCTTGATATTCCTGTGCAGCTTTGTATGATTTGAACGTGATCAACTGCAATGTCTGAATAATGTTGAAAGTGCAAGAGGTAATTAGAGGTAAATACACTGCAGATACTGTAGTTCGTCATATAATTCATATGAGTTATTTAATTATTCAAACTTCTTCAGTCTATCCAAACACTCTGTTCTGAAGTTAGTATCCAGCATTATTCTGGGAATCATTTCTTAATAATAGTATTTTAAAGCAAACCTGTGTTCCTAGTACGGGAATGACTGAGTTATTATTAAGTTAAAAAAAATCAAATATAAACTTAGATTTTTTTTGTCAGATTAGGTTATTTATCATATAAAACTTCACACCAAAAGTTAAATAAAAAAAAATAAATTATTTATTCAATAAAGAAAAAAATGGTGATGGGGGAAATGAGAAGGGGTTAAAGATAGATTATACGTTTTGGTCCAGTGTGAAGCGTGGCTATGTGAATGAACTGTTTCTGAAACTCACTTCTTCTTCTTTATTGCCAAATAATAATTTATTATTTGCCTAAATCAGCAGCAGTTTTTACTGGCTTCTTATGTGCCTGTCTCTCCTTATTTTCTGTCTCCTTGTTCTCAAAACAATGGACCAGATGCAGTCTCAGTTCCCCAGACTTTCAGCCTAAGATCTGTAAAAGCCTTGCAAGATTATAAAAAAGCATTTTTAATCTGGCATATAGATGAATATAGATAAATGACAATGTGTCTGATATAATGGAAGTTTGTTTTTTTTCAATACTGTAATTTATAAGGAGTGTGAATACTTAATGAGAGCTTTTTCGGTTGTAGGTAATTCAGATTATCAGTGCTGTTGACAAAGATGACCCTAAAAATGGACATTATTTCCTATACAGTCTTCTTCCTGAAATGGTCAACAATCCAAATTTCACCATCAAGAAAAATGAAGGTAAATATAATACATACATAAAGTATATCTGAAGAATGTAGTTTTGAATTGCTTTGTTGACTTCCAGTTATCTTACCAGTTTGTCCATCAGGCAATTACAATGTACATGATCTGTTTAATAGTACATTCGTTATATGAAGAAAGTAAAATGTATACTGAAGTTAGATCCAGAAGGCAACTCACTGGCTTAAATAAAAGAAAAGGATGGATTTACTGCCTGTTTGATTTCTATTAATTTGAAATTCCAGAGATATGCTCTGAGATGAAAATCTGAAACTGTGTTGATAAATACATGTTGATCCTACGTTGACTGGGTATAGATGTGAGCATAAAATTAAATATCTGCTGATTCCCCCAAAGGATATACCTTTTTTATGCCTGTTTGTTGTGTGCATAAAAGTTCCAAGGAATTTCAGTTAGGCACTTTTACTAGAAAGAGAAACCTGCTAGGTCAGCAAAGCCCAGAAGGGCCCTCTATATCACTATGCTTTAGAGCACTTCTAGAAGAGCATAATGTCATTCTGTAGTACTACAGAAGTGGAATTTCATGTGTGATGGAAAAAAAACCCACAAACATTTAATGTTGTTGAGCAATAAATTTATACTGATGCTTTTCTTTGGCACACAGATATAATTGAAGGTCATGTGAGAAAGAGCAAGGAATGATCACAAGAATGCTATAAATAGTACTTTATGTATTTGTACTTAAATATTCAGTAAAGTTTTTCCACCTTGGTGATTTTTTTTTTAATAAAGCAGTACCCCGTCAAGAATTTTAGTCAAATTCAGTTTCTTATTTCTCTTCTTTGAAATGATAATGAAAAAAATCCTTATTTAGTCTGTTACTAATAGGTGCATGTATATGTGAAGGGGGTGAACATTAGTATAAAAGTAATACGCAAAATGTCAAATAAAGAGAAAATGCTGTTTTCATTTTTTTATTCTAGCTGTTCCAACCAAGAGGAACAACAGTGCCATTTTGTTAAATGATTCTATTGAAACCTAAATTTTTAAATGTGTCCTGAATTTTTCTTTTCATTATTTTTGTTTTTCTCTTATAGCTTTCACAAAGTCTCTTACTTCTACTTGTCTCTGTATGTTTTCTGCACTTACAGGAGAAGATAAACCTCTTCAAAGTGCATTTCATAATCATCAGTAATGTAACACAAATTGAATTAAGCATCCTAAATGTGAGGTGGTTTGCTTTGCACAGTGTGATGAAGAGAAATAGGTCCTAGCATTTCTCTTCATGTTTAAATAATTAGCTAGTATCACTAATTAACCTTGTCCTTCCAATCTGTTACCCATTTAAGACCCACTTTTAGTCCTAGTCACAGCCAATGGCAAAATGACTCCTGATCTGAGTGGGAGTGCGTAATCTTTCTATATAGTATGGCTTAGAAAAATAAGTACAATTCTGTTAAAACATTGCCGCTCAATTTTACGCAATTTTTAATGCATTTGAATCAGTTAAATGAGTAAGTCCTCTTAAACCAACCAACTGAAATCTCTTGAAAGTAAAAGTCCAGAAGAGGCTCCTCTGATTTAATCTTTCAGTATCCAGCAATAAAATTCCAGCTATGTATATCATCCTTTTCTATCAAGATTGCTCAGCCAAGCATACAGTCCATGGTTGATGCTAGAACATGATCTCCCACCAGAAGCAAGTATTCCTGTGAAAGCCTAAATCAGGAACTAATTTGGTGGAGGTGAGGTTTCATGCCATTTATACATCAAAAATCTCTACTAAGTCTTTATTTAGTTATGCCACTTAAACAACGAATTTGACCATGACTTTCCCTTGCATATATGTGCTAGATAAACAAAAATGAGTGTTCTGGTTGAAAAAACTCTGCTTCAGTAGAAACATTGTAAGAAAATGCCTATAACAAACCTTACTCTAATTTCTGGAGACTTGTGTTTCTAAGGATCAGATTAGTGCACAACCTGCTTAGGCTCAGAATGGAAAAACATTTCCTCAAAGTGATGGGCAAAATCCTTGATATCTTCCTGACCGTGACATCAGCCTCAACGTCCTCCCATATTCGTGGCCCTGCCAAATTCTTTAAGGGGGTGGAGAGTATCTTGACGGCTACTGAAGAAATCCTATCCTCTTACGGATAGGTTAAATGGATTGCATTTTCTCACGAAAGCTAATATAGAACACAATCTTATATTTGCTAGAATTAGTAATTGTTTTTCTTTAAATGATTTTTCTTATCTTACCTTCTCAAAAATTCTCTCAAGTGCAGAGATAAACAAGAGAGTTTGTGAAATTATATTACCCTGTGGGATTCTTCTTCTGTGCTTTCGGGAACATTGTGGTATTTGACAATTACTTCTCTACTTCAGAGTAATGGCGTTATCTGATCTGGTGGCACTAAGTATGCAAACAACACAGTTTGGCATCTACCATGGGAAGAAAGCTGTGACGTTCGGTTTCTGCCCATCACAATAAAGAATATGTAAGATGCACATAGTCTGAAATTTTGTCTTGCTATATGGAACATAAGCGTAGCTGTTAATTACTCTAATTTGTCACCTACAGCCTAATTCTATTGTTTAAGCTTTCCAGATTGCCACAAGGCAAATTCACATGATACTTCAGTAATTAACTGTGCTGCCCCAAAATGCCACAAATATTATGATTGGCTAAATAGTTATTGCCAAATATATTTAAATGAGTGACACAACAGTGTATCTTCATCAAAACCAGAAAAAAACACTTTTCCCAAGATTATATTATGTGTTACAGAAATTATCCTGTGATTGTAGCAGAATCTGTTCCTTCAGACGATATACCAGTATCCTTTATTTGTTTGGTCTGTTAAATTTGCATATTTACAATCCCTTCTGTGGACAACATACCTAAAACTGTGGAGGCTGTAGTGCCTTTCTAGTGTAAGTAATGTAAAAATGTAAATTTAAATGTCATCATGCCTCTCACTAAATGTCGTTAGATCATCTCTTAGAAATCTTTATTTTTCATATCTCTTGATCTACTCTTTCTGTTCTTTTCCAAGCTCAGATGTCTGTTACTGAGTAGTTTTAATTAGGCTTTGTGCCTTAGATAAATGGGCAGCTACTGATCATCTGAAGTAAAGCAATGTTACTCTCTGAAACTGTAATGCAAGGAACACTGATCATTTAGATTGCCAGATCCATAAATCTTTATCCCTTCACAAGAGAAATAATAAAATTATGTAGTAAAAATATATAAAGCTAATGCAACATGAAAATCATGTTACGTTTTCTATGTTAGTCCTGGTGACTAAACCTTTGAATCCATGACATAACAATCCTAATAATCCTCGACTGCATAAACTCACGTAGACTGACTGTCTGATCACTTACTTTTCACATGTCTTTGTGCTGGATTTCTGCATAGAGGCAGAAATGGCAAAAATAAATAAATAAATGTTTTGTGTAGTGTTTCTGACAAACTTTGAACCAGAAAAAACCCTAAAACTTCAGATGAAAATAGCTGTGATGTTTAGGCAGGTGTTGATACGCTCTAGCAATGTGGTTTAGATTCTTTAGCAGGATGAAATTAACCCTTCCAAAAAGCTATAGGATCACAGTAAATGACAAAAAACTAACAGGAGTTTAGACAACTGATAAGGATTTTGTACAGCTATGGCATCAATAAGTTGAAATGAGACCTCTGGAAATGGAATTAGCATTTGTTGACAGTCTTTTTTCAGCTGAGTGATCTTCACAAAGTGTTACCTAAAACCTAATGCCACTACATGGATCATCTTGTGCATCTCAAACAATATGTTCATAGCAATACGTGTTTTCAGCATTGAATTCCTAATGCTGTTATGGCTTCCTTACGTTGTTCAAGTGAGAACAGAATTTTGTGATAAAAACATTTTCAAAGATGTAAACATTTTGATATGCTGTGAATGCAATTTTTACTTTCAAAAACTAGTAAATACATCTTTACCATAAAGAGACGTAAAGTTTTTCCCCAAAGGTGTTTCCATTGCTCTTCCGTTTTTCTTATGCCAAATTCTGGTTCCTAATGGAATAACCCCCAAATCTCATATTCTACAGGGCCTTTCAGTGCAGTAACTCTTCTTACAGAAGAAATGGTGTATGTCTGCTATATAAATGTGGTATTATGTATCTCTTACTAGAGCTTATGGAGTAGAAGCAATCACAGATTTGCTTGGACATGGGCAGGCCTTATCTTTGGGTGAAGAGAACCATCTCAATGAGATGCATTCGTATTCTTGCAGATATTCAATAGCCTTGTAAGTAACCAGCCTCCCCTCTCCCAAAATATTCAATGTCCATCTGGTGATATGAGTTCTGAATTTGGGCCAAACTGGTTTTAGTGAGCACATAGTAAAGACGATCTTTTTTTCCTTTTGAATTGAAGCATTATACTGCAGTGATGAACTGTTCTATTGGTTCTCTATAATGAATTTAATATTTATTCTCAGCCATGCTTAGTCTATCATATCTATGATACCTATAATAGCTCCAAGAATGTTCATGTTTAAATGTCCATTTCTTTTGTTCTTTCCATCCTGCAAGTTTAATCTATCGCTTATGTTTTCATTGTGCTGCCTTGAAAGTATAGGCAGTGGCATGTATTTAAAAGGAAATAAACTGGTATAATCACTAACTGGCTTGCATGTCTTTTACACTATTGGCACATCTTATTTTAAAATATTTTCTATTTCTTATCACCTCTTAACCATTAATAAACAAATAATTCTAAACTATTTTGAAACAGCCAGAGAAGACAATTACATGCAACCTTTATTTTAGATATTTTAAATAATAAAAAATGATCAGCACTACCTCATTTTTGAGGGTACTTGTTTGTCACTGTATATTTAATATAATAAAACCTAGATTTTTTTTTGCACCACTTTTTCCTGAAAATATTTTTAGCAGCATCTGTCAAATGTATACCTAGAGGGTGAGTCTTTTGTTCCCACAAGAGTAACTCTTGTGTTAAAATGAGTTTCTTTCCCTGATTCAAT